TTTTTTTTTTTTTTTTTTTTTTTTTTTTGATTTTTCAAGACAGGGTTTCACTGTGCAGCATTTGTTTGATATGGTATGGTTCTATGACAAAGCATGGCCTGAAAACTTCAAGTACCCACTGCCGTCATCCTCCTTGGTATGAGTAAAGTAAAAATTGAACACAAGGCTTTTAGTTTGTTTGTTTGTTTGTTTGTTTGTTTGTTTTTGTTTGTTTTTGTTTTCGAGACAGGGTTTCTCTGTAGCTTTGGACTCTGTGTAGCTATCCTAACACTAGCTCTTTAGACCCAGCTGGCCTTGAAGTCACAGAAATCCAAATGCCTCTGTCTCCAAAGTGCTGGGATTAAGGGCGTCAGCCACCAACGCCCAGCACTTTTTGTTTTGTTTTCTTTTTTGAGAAAGGGTGGCTCATGAATTGTTTTGACCTAGAATTCATGAGTCCATATGGACAGAGAGGCTCCCTTGCTGCCAGTAAGGGAGTCTGGCTTCAAATCACCAGTGAGGACTATGGTTTAAGTTGGTGTCTCTCCCATTGCCAGAGCAAATAATCTCTGACTTGAGCGGTTCCTGTGCTGGGTGAGGAAGATTTCTAAACTTTGTCCTGATAATAAATGTTGTTCTCTAAATGCTTCCCCAGGATCTTTCTGACTTCAGACCCTTCATGATGAGCCTTCAGACCCCACCCACACTCCTGAAACAGGCAAGGCAGGCTCTGCTGAGAAATGAGGAATTGTCCATTTCTGCTGTGGAACAACTGCCCATGGAGCTCTTCACAGCAGTGTTCCAGGACGCCTTCAAAGGCAGACACAATAGGATGGTGAAGGCAATGGTGGCAGCCTGGCCTTTCCCCTGCCTCCCTGTGGGGACATTGATGAAGACCCCCAACTTAGAAACCTTCCAGGCTGTACTTGAAGGAGTAGACATGCAGCTGGCAAGAAACTTTCACCCCAGGCAAGAAAAAACCAAGTAGTGGAGACTGGAGCACATGGGTACACAAGGAAGAGACTTAGGGGTCCCGGAGAAGGGCATGGGAAGTGGCTCAGAGGCTTCTGATGGGATCCTCATGCAGGGATGCAGGGCCTTGAAAGCTATTGATTCCTTGTAGTAAGCCAATGGAGTGGGGATTAGAGCTTAGGGAGATGGAGCCACAGTGCAGTTAGACTGCCCTGGCATTCCCACAACCACTAATAAAGGGACTAGGTAGAAACAGAGAGTAACTTAGTGGAAGGAATACAGTCATGTCTACAGATAGATGCAGCCCAGGGGAAGCTTCCATAGCTCACAGAGTTCCCATATTAGATATTGGGGAGACTTAGTCATTGGCAGGGTGGAAGAAATTCAATTACAGATATGTAGTGAAGCTGTCTCACTGTGGGGTCCTGTCAAGTCTGCTGACCCTTGACACCGTTTCACCCACAGGAGGAACAAAATGAAAGTACTGGATTTCAGGAAAGTACACCATGAGTTCTGGACCATATGGACTGGAACAGAGGATGGGGACTGCTCATCAGAGAGTGGGGATGAGGAGCAAGTAGTGAAGGTCCTTCCAAGATATGCAGTGAGACGGCATCTGAAGGTCATAGCTGAACTCTGTCTCAGACGCGGACTGGATGAAGAGGAAGCATATTTCTTGCAGTGGGCCCAGGAGAGAAAAGGCTCCTTACAGCTCTGCTGTGCAAAGATGAAGATCTGGGATATGCCTCTAGGCAAAATCAAGGAGATCTTGAGTGTTTTCCAGCCATGGCACATTGAGGAACTGGAACTGAACACAGGGTGGGACAGGTACTCACTGGCATGGTTTGCCACCTACCTTGGCCACATGAGAAATCTTCGAAAACTCTCCCTGGCCCACATCTACCAGAACTCCACTGGGACTGGCAACATGAACTGTATCAGGAAGTTCCTTTCTCAGGTCTCCAAACTGCACTTTCTTCAGCATCTCTCCATGAAAGCCATCTACTTTCTGAGACACCAGGTGAATAAGCTCCTCAGGTAAGCAAGATAGAGAGCTGGGTCAGCTACTAGAGCAAACCTTGCTCTTTACCTAAGGATTAGTGGATGAGTGGTACCTGCCTGGCACTGGGTGCAATTACAGTGAAAGTTGGGGGTGTGGTTTAATGTAGTAGACTGCTGCAGTAGGAAGCACCCGGTAGTCTACTTTTTTCATGTGGTCAAAATATCCTTGTGCTATGTGGCCCATCGGCCTCTTTAGAAGCCCAGGGGACACAGTCCTCTCCAAAACCTTTTGTTTGAACTAACCATTTTGTTTATCCCTAGTTGCCTGAGAAGCCCCTTGGAGAGTTTCTCAATCAGTGGCTACTTTCTGACACACTATGACTTGAATTGTATCTCCCGTTGCCAACGCCTCTGTGAGCTCAAACATCTGGCCATGAGAGGTGTGGGATTATTGGCTACAGATTCTATGCCTCTCAAACATCTGCTAGAGACTGTGGCACATACTCTGCAGTCCCTGGATTTGCAGGGTTGTGGAATGGAGGACTCTCAGCTCACTGACCTCATACCTGCCCTCAGCCGGTGCACCCAGCTCAACAAGGTCAACCTGTATGACAATAAATTCTCTGTGTCCATTTTGAAGGACCTTTTAATGCACACAGCCAACTGGAGCAAGATGAATGGGGAGCAATACCCTGCCCCTGTGGAGTGCTATGATGACTTTGGTGTCATTGACACAGAAATATTCCTCTACCTTTGTCCTGAGCTCATGGATGCACTCAGGGCCCAGAGGCAGCCCAAGAGTATTATCTTTGGAACCGAAACCTGCAGTCAATGTGGTGTGCGTTGTGTCTATGACCTGGGGCCCAGACTTTGTCCTTGCTGGCAGTAAATAGGGAACATGACTTCCTGATTTGGATGCTCTGCCCCTGGGCTTTCCTAAGTTATTGGCCTCCTTTGTATGTTCAGGGTATGGAAAGTCTCTCAGCTGGCTTCAGGGATCTAATGAACCAAGGAACTCTATTTGAAGTCTTCAGTTGTGGTCTCTTTATTAAGTGTAATTTTAAAATGTTCCTATGCCTACCCATTGCATTCTCAATTTTCTGTATAATGAAGCAGCAATAAAATAATTCTGTGCCAGTTTTCTTCATTGGTATCTTTCCTAAACACATATAGAGTGATGGTCCTTTGTTTAAATGTCATTATTGTTGTCTGGATCTTATATACTAACTCTTTGTAAGGACTCTGGACAGAAATAAAAATGGGAACAGCTACATGTCGAAGCAATAAGATACACTTATCCTCTAGGGCAGACTATATATCCATGCTAGCCTGGGACACAGAAAGGGACACCAGAGCCAGGGGATTGGCTCAAAAGTTAAAAGCACAGGGGAGGCGTTCTTTCAGAGGGTTCAAGTTCAGTTTACTGTGGCCATATCAGGTGGCTCACACCTGCCTGTAAGTCCAGCTCCAGGTGATGGGTTCTGTGTGGACACCTGCTTTCAAATGCATCAATCCACACAACATTTGTTGCATGTGTGTGTCCCTAAATGACAGTTGATTAAAAAGACAAGTTTAAACTAGGTGTTGGTGGCACATGCCTGTAATCTCATCACTCAGGAGGTAGAGACAGGGAGATCCCTGTGAGTTGGGGAACAGCCTGATCAAGTAGAGCTACTTTCAGGACAGACTCCAAGCCACAGAAAACTGTCTCGAACCACCCCTTCCCCGCAAAAAAGCAACATTTATGAGTAAACAAAAGTTAACAAAACTAACCCCCTAGTTAAAACAGATACACTCATGGGCGGGGTGTTTGCTTGGTACCTGTGAGGCCCTGGATCCATCTTCAGCTTTACATGGTAACAAGAGTGCCTAGAGCTTGAGGATGAGTTTCAGCTCAGTGTTGAACACTTGGCACAGCTTGCATTGGGCTCCTGGGTTTGCTCTCCAACACCATGGATAAACTAAAGATTATGAGTGGCTTGCACACATAAAGGACTTGTAGATATGGAGTTACAAGTGATCAGGTGTGAATTTCACATAAACATAGTATTGCTTAAGTGTCATCTTTCCAGTTTTAGGTTTCAGATGGATTGTTTTATTTTTTTCACAGAGCATGCCACTCACTACATAGCCCTCACATAGCAATTCCTGGGTCCCTAGCTTCCTGGGTTTTACATCACTTGACACTGCTTTTCTACCACACTTGAGACCCGCAGTTCGATCTGTGAATTCCATTAAATGGGGCACAGTAGTGCCACTTGGAATACCTCCATATGGAGGTAGAAATAGAGAAACAGATAATCAATGTCATCCTGCCTACATACCCTAAGAACTTCTTTTGATGAAAAACAAAACTTATTTTTTTTCACAGAAAATCCCAGAGGTATGGCATTGTACTGTTTGTTTCTTTGTTTAGATGTTACTGGGTAGCTCATAATGCCTTAAACTCATTTTGTAGACCACACTATCCCTACACTATAAACAGTCCTCTGTCTCAGCATTCTGTTGGGTGGGATGACATATATGAACCACCATGCCCGGTTGGCTCTTCAACTGTGAAACCCCCAACCCAGCATTAGCACAGGACGGCAATTAACTTCTATGGAGGAGGAAAAAGAAGGAGGGTCTGAAGCTAAAGTTAGCCCAAGGAACTCAGTCTTCTGTGATTTAGAAAAAACAGTACTGCTGGATGTGGTAGCACACACCTTAATGCCAGTACTGGGGAGGCAGAGTCAGGTGGATCTCTGAGTTCTAGGCCATCCTGGTCTAAAAAGCTATTTCCAGGACAGCCATGGCCATATATAGGGAAACCCTGCCTCAAAAACCAACAAACAAAAATAGTATTAAAAAGGATTGCAGATTGAGCACAGAAATCAGTAGTGGAGGTCTGGTTTCTAATCTATGTACCAGGTTTAAAGAAAATAAAAAAAATCCAAAAACAAACCTGAGATGCAGTTCAGTGGAGGAAGCTGGGTAAAGTGTTCATGGAGACCTGGTTTCATTAGGTCCCTGAGAGACAGAGACAGAGAGACTGAGAGACAGAGAGAGAGATAGAGAAGGAGAAGAAGGAGAAAGGAGGAGGAGGAGAAGGAGGAGGAGGAGGAGAAGAAGGAGGAGGAGGAGGAGAAGGAGGAGGAGGAGGAGAAAAAGAAGGAGGAGGAGGAGATGAAGAAGACGACAATGACTTTCCATGTCCTTCCTGAAGAGCTTTTTGTACCACAGGGCTAACTTGATCATGATGGATGTGCAGCAGTATCCTGCCCCTCTGGAGGGTGTATCAATGCCTTGGTTTTTCTGCAGACAGAGATATCATCAACCTTGTTCTACTCTCATGCATACACTCAGGGCCTTAGGCAGCCCAAGAGGATCTTCTTTACTATGATGTCTGCCATAAATCTGGTGAGTACTGTATCTATGTTCCGGGGCACAGACTTTATTCTTGTTGGCTGTAAATACAAACATGACTTCTGGGTTTGAAGACATGAAGTCTTGGGACACGTTTCCCATCTGGAATTGCAGATTTCGTGGCTTTAGACATTGCTCAGATTGCTGGAACCTAAATGATGTGCAGTGAGGCTGAGGGTGACAGGGAAAACAATGGGACCATGGGAGCAGGTAGAGTCTCCTGGATTCAGAAGGACAATTTTGCTTTTCTAAGTGGTTTCACAAGGGGGGGGGGATTACCAGGGAATTTGTGTGCACCTGTGAACCTGGATACTCTCCACCTTGGGTGTTTCTCTGTTGTTAACCTCACTGCCGGGTTCAGGGTCAGGAGGTTCCAGTGACTCACAAATGAAAACCACTGGTGTTTTTGTGACACTTCTGTCATTCTTGGGTTTGCCTGTACATCTGTCACATTTACTTTCTGTGGCTGTTCAAATATCTGCACAATTTTTTTTTCGAGACAGGGTTTTTCTGTGTAGCTTAGGAGCCTATCCTGACACTCCCTCTGGAGACCTGGCTGGCCTTGAACTCACAGAGATCTGCCTGACTCTGCCTCCCGAGTGGTGGGATTAAAGGCGTGCACCACCAACGCCCGGCCTCACAAAAAATGTTAACCTTGCGGGATGTTGGTGGCATTCGCCTTTAGTGTCAACACATGGGAGGCAGATGCATGCAGGTATCTTTGAGTTCCAGACCAGCCTAGTCTATAAGAGCTACTTCCAAGGTAGCATCAAAGCCACAGAGAAACCCTGTCTCGAAACTCCTCACCCCCCAAAATAATGTTAACCTACAGTGATCAGAACTGGCAATTCCTGTGAAGGATGTTTCAAGGAACCACAGAGGATACATCTAGTGTACTCAGTTCACTGGGCACTGTGGACCCATCAGAGATAGCTGAAGGAAACACAAAAGAGGGCAAAATGAACAGGATTTAGGACATTTCTTTTTTTCTACATTTAAAACTTTATTTCCTTTTTATTTGATAGCCTCATGTGCTCCACCCTGGCCTTGAACCCTTGAAGTTTTTTCTTGCCTCACTGACATACCACTATAATCCACCATGTCTAGCATGTATGCCACATGTCTGTTGGCTCAAATTTCTGTGAACTGTTGAACTCTTTACTCCTATGAAATGATTACTTCAAAAAAATAGTATTTTATTGTGTTCAGTTGTGGTCTCTGTGTTTTCTGTGTTGATTTACTGAAAAAAAAATCTCCCTATGCCTAGTCATTCTATCCTCCATTTTCTGTCTAGTAAATTATCAATGAAATAATTCATAATTACACAGGTTTATTCTACATTAGAATGTTTGTTGAGCACATAGGACAGGGGTCTTTCTTAAATGTTATTACTGTCATCTGAATTCCATAAAGCATCTAAATTTAAGGACTCCTCAACAAATGCTTTCTGGACAGAAGTAAAAAATGAACGTATGGATGCCAATAATGTTAGCATATCACAGTATACGATAGGTGAATAAAATTATCAGCCAGGGTGGACCAAATATATACATATACTATAGCCTAGAGTGCAGAGTTAAGACAACATTGACTTTAGAAAACAACAACCCATAGATTGAGAGAGATGGTTTCATAGTTTAAGAGCACATACAGCTTTTTTTGTTTGTTTGTTTTTTGTTTTGTTTTGTTTGTCTCTCAAAAGGAGATTTAAGGTGACAGTACTACATCTGGCCTGTGTGGGGCCCTACTTTCACATGTACTTTCACATGCACAAAGACACACATGCACAAAGCCACACAATTCACACACACACACACACAGAGAGAGAGAGAGAGAGAGACAGAGAGAGAGAGACAGAGACAGACAGACAGACAGACAGACAGACAGACAGACAGAGAGAGGAGACAGAGAGAATCTTAAAAATTAGTCTTAAATTGAAAACCCAATTTCACAAAGAAATAGTAAAAATGAACTAGCTAATTAAAATGAGATGCTGTTAGTAGCCTGGCACTTGTGTGAGCCTGTGTGACTCTGACATCACCCTCAGCACCACACAGTGAAGAGAAGATATGGAGTATTAAGCTGTGTGGGTTGAGCTCAGTGACTGAGCATTAGCCTAGTTTGCTCTGGGCTCTGGGGTTTGGGATCCTGCACCATGGATTGAGTGAAAGTACATCAGGAGTTCGTGTATCACTAATAATAATAACACAGAGACAGATATTGGGGTTCAAGGTGTAGATCAGAAAAGCAAATCAGCCAGCCATTACAGATTTCTCACCTCTACCAAGGCAGAGTGGATCCTGTCCTCAGTATGACAGCAGACTGTATACAGACTGAGAGCCTGAGCCCCTGCCTTATATTCCGCTCTAGCCCCGGGTTAAAGGCGTGGCTTCCCACTTGCTGGGATTAAAGGTGTGATCCACGTTTCTCCATTAGACTGATTCTCTCATGTTGTGCAGGGTGGCCTTGAACTCACAAAGATCCATCTGCCTCTGTCTCCTGAGTGTTTGGAAGAAAGGTGTAGCCACCACTGCCTTTCCTCTATGGCT